TCTGTTTCCGTGATGAAGAAACGGAGAGCAGGAGCATGCCTGTAATCCCAGCACTTGAGAAGCTGCGGCAGGAAGATTGAAGACTTGAACCCAGCCCTGGCAACAGACAAGACTCTGTCTTAAACAATAAAGATATATTTAAAAGAAACAAACTAGCAAATAAACAAACTGAGGCTCAGAGAGGTTAAGATAAATGTCCCTGCTCACACAGCCTAGACAGCTGAGTCTAGTGCTTTTTCCCCAGGAACTAGCTATGTCTGAGCACCGCCCACCGCCTCTTCTCTCTTCCAGGTGTTATGTCAGGGCTCTGGTATATTTCAGGAGTGCCCAGGTTCTAGCCACAAATCTTCAGGAAAACAGGGATGGATTGCCAGTCCACCTCTTAGAGCAATCCATCCTGCTGTGGGGAGCACGGCTGGGTCCCCAGATTACATAGATGGATTATTAGTAGATTCCAGTTGTTCACACTTGTGCTTCCTCCCTCCAACTAAACTAATGAAGAGTTTGTTATACTCAGAGATACCATAATCATTACTCACAGAAAGAGCCATTCCCTCAAACCGTACAGGGTGCCTTGTGTCATTTAGAGTCAAGAGCCGAGGGAAGTGTATAGAACAAGAAAGATGTCTGATGTTCATTATGAGAAACTCCATTAACTATAAGGAAAAAAACAGAATCTGGGGATGTAGCTCAATTGGTAGCATATCTGCCTAGCATGCTTGAAGCCCTGATCTCAATCCCCAGCACCACATTAATGGGGCATGGTGGTTGTGCCTGTAATCCCAGCTCTCAGGAAGTGGGGCAAGAGGATGAGAAGGTCAGGGTCATCCTCAGTTTCATAAGAAGTTTGAGGCCAACCTGGGCTGCATGAATCCTTGTCCCAAAATAAAAAAGAAAAGTCAGAATAATGAGAAATGTATAAACACAAGAATTAGTTATTCAAACACATGGAGGTCTGTCTGTATCTCTAGAAGATCCTGTGATATCTCTCTGGAAGATGATTCTGGCTAATGAAGGAGAATAACCCTAGAGTTTTCTCTCTTAGAACTCCAAGACTTTCTGGTTTCCATAACTCTGGCTTAAGAATACATGCCACTATATTTTGAGTTTGAAGCATCTGGATTATATGGATAAGCAAATCTCGGGAACTGACTCCATCTCACCTCTGAGGCTTGGGGTTCCCTAAATGATGGCACTTCTTTGGGGGTTCTTGGGGGATGGTATCTAGTACTAGAAAATGTTGACCTCAAATTGACACTTAAACCAGGATTATTTCCTTATTATTTGTCTCTTTTTCATTTTCAAATGACTGGACACAGAAACGTGAGTTTGTGGTGCTTCATTTATGCTCTATCTGAAGATGCGGACTGATGGGTGGAAGGGAAGAAACAGATTGAGAGAGATTGGCCCCAGAAACTAAGACCTCCCATTATAGCCTCCATTTTAGAAAGATCCAAATAAGAACTCCTGTGGGCATTTCTTTACTTCTGTCCTCCCCTTCCTAACTCTCCATAATACTGCCTGAACTCTAAAATCTCTTTCCAGAAGGTTCTCTGACCCTCTTCTTCCCACACACCCCATCTCCCACACCCTCTAGCCAGTATGTCTCCCTCCTAACAAGCAAATTTTAACCCCGATAAGTGATCTCCTGTATTTAGTTGGTTCTTTTCTCACTAATTAGCCCCTTCATGAAATTTTCCTGGATTCTTCCTCCAACCTCCCTTTTTTTCCTCCTTTCTCTCAGAATATAAAGTCTCCATCTCAGGAACCAGGGTACAGCTGATATGCCCTCTGGAAAGTGAATCCGTACATTGGGAAAAAGATGGCATAGAATTGTCTGGTGTGCATGACCGCACCCTAATTCAAGACCATTTTTCCGAAGTCGAGAACAGTGGTTATTATGCCTGCTATGAGCCTGGCAAAGAGAAGAACAAGTATCTCTACCTGAAAGCTAGAGGTAACACAAGGTCATTTCAAAACAGCATTCTCAATAATGTTCCCCACCCAGCCGGCAGTCCACTGTCATCTGAAAGCTCCCTCTTACACTCAGTCCCAGCCTCTCTGGGGCCATACAGTATCAGTATTTTCTGAAATATAGATTCAACACCAACCTGGGATGTTCTGGCCATTCAGTGCTAAGTCTAATACAGCAACTTCCCCCGAGAGGCAGGCTTGGGTCTTTTGTGTTGTACCATACCCAGAATTAAGGTCTACTAGCTTGAGTTTATCTGAGACACATTCGTTAGAAGGACTTAAGAAGAGACTAGATGCCACTACCTGAAATTCCTAAATGGAAACATCATAATAAATAATAATAAGATCTGACATTTATCAAGTGTTTTTCTGAAGTTTCAAGTACTGGATTTGTAATCCTTGTAAATGCCATGGGTAGGACCCAGGGCCTGGGGCATGCCAGGTAAGCACTATACCACTGAGCTCCACCCCTGGGCCCATACCACAGGATTCTCTCCTGTTATCCCCCTCAACAGCCATAAGAGTTAAGTACTATTTTATTCCCATTTTGTGGATGAGGAAACAGAGGCTTTGTGGATTGAAAATTTCCACAATTAGTGAGTAATGGAGCTGAGACTAATTCTGGAACCTTTGACCATAACTACTCATCTTGTTTGCTGCTGTTGTTCCCACTGGGCAATATTGAAAGTGAGGCCTCTGATGCTGACACATGCAGGTGTGGAAGGAAGACTTGTCTTCGTTGTTCTTTTCTCTTCTCCCATGTGCTGATCATTTCTCCTGCCCGCCCCCCACCACCATTGCTCCCTGCAGTGTGTAAGAACTGCGTGGAGGTGGACCTGACAACTGTGGCCATCATCATCATCACTGACATTCTCATCACTCTTGGCTTGCTGATGATGGTTTATTACTGGAGCAAGAAGAGAAAGGCCAGCACCAAGCCTGTGACCCGAGGAACCGGTACTGGGGGCAGGCCCAGAGGTAAGACTGTAAAGCTGGGTCAGGGAACATCTGGCCTGGGCCAGGATGGACAGCAAGTCTACAGCAGGTTCAAAACAGCTTCTACAGAACATTCACTGTGATACCAAGATCCCTTCAGAGGGCTTCCCATCCAAGATCACTCCTCTCCCTCCTGCCCCAGAAAATTGTAAGAACACTAACCAACCAATGCAATAATGCAATGAGCTTCCTCAAAAACCTGTCAGCTCAGCACCCTGCACTAATCAGATTCCATCCCAAGCTGTGGGCAGAGAGACTTCAGGATACTAGTCCCTGCCTCTTCCTCTCCCTTCCCCCATGCAGAGATAATGGGAGGACCTGAGCCCAGCAAAACCTCAAATGATGAGAGCACTGTGAAGTCCTTAGGGACGGGGTGAAAGAAAAAAAGAGGAAGGTGACTAGATAGGAAAAGGAGACTATAAGAAAAGACAGAAGGGCCTGCTCTCCCTTGGGGTGTTGGGTTGGATCTCATAGCAGCCATCAGCATTATGAGACTGGTGTCCAGCATGGAAACTACTTTCCCCTCCCTCCTCTGCAGGACAAAACAAGGAGCGGCCACCACCTGTGCCCAACCCAGACTATGAGGTAACCGGGGATCAAGTGGGCAGGAAGTTGGAGGAAGAGAATGGGTGGGAACTGTCTGTCTCATTGACCAGATACTTCAAGCTCCTTACCCAGGGCTCCCAGGACAGGCTACTATGTGCCCATCTCTGCCTTCTTCACATTGTAAAGAACTATCTCAAAGGCTGTTTGGCTTCTACAACCATGCAGAGGCAGGGGAGTGGGGGAGAGAAAGAGACATACCTCGTTCTCTCATTCATTCATTGGCTGGGATTCAGCTGTGGTGAATACCACACATGTACATGTTAAACTGATAAACAGAGCTGATGTTCCACCAGCATGCACCAGCACAGTCAATAGGGCAGTACTTCATTGGTAAATGGCCCTTAGTTTCCCTCCATATCTCTCTCTCTCTCTCTCTCTCTCTCTCTCTCTCTCTC